AATGGAAATGCAACGATTAAATTGTGATATGTTTGTTTGAAATGATATGAGAGATTATTAAAGAAAATTGTAATGTTATTCATTCTTAATGTCATATTTACATTAATAGAAGCACTTTAGATTTAAAACATTTCTTCTTCAATCCTTGAAGGACTTTTGTTAAAGTTACAAATTCCAATAAAGGTCTTTACTCTTAAACACTTCCCACTTGAAATAATTTCCCAGTAGTCAAACGTGATATGCTGCTAAACCAACGCTGCTGCTATTTATACCCCCGCCGAGGCAACGCTCTCATGCGCAGAACGCCGCTATACCAACGCTCGCATTACCGCTTAACAAACGCTAGCTACCGCTCGCAAGCGCTTAACCAACGCTAAAGCAACGCCGGCTTCAGCGGTGCACCGCTAAGCCAACGCCCGTGTTTTTGTTTTTTGCCCCATTTTGTGCGCGTTAACGAGCGTTGATGAATTTTTTCAACGTTCAAGGAACGCTCCAGCAACGTCCGGGCGGTGTGACCGGGCCTTTAAATATAAAACATTACAAAATCAACTCCGTATTGAAACATGTAAACGAGTTTAGACCAAAAATATATGAACAAGTGAAATGTGAGAAAAGTCAAACAAGGATTGAATTATGAGATAACTGTTTTAAATATACGAATTGCACAATGTTTAGAAAATAGACCTGTTAAATTAAGAAAAGGTATAATTGCGGATTAATCAACATACCATATTCGAACATGACCAGACTATTCACGTGGCTTACGTACAACTCATCCCCTAGACAACTCATCCTTGGACAATCCCTTAGACAACTTATCTCCTTGACAACTCATCTTTTATCACATGAAACTAAATTGCAAGTGTTTCTGATAAAGAAATATTAAATAAATACACATTAGATAATTCAAAATATTATTTTTCACTTTATTGACACACAATTATTTACTAAGTACCTATTTGAATCAAACCGTGCCAGTAAAACTCTCTTGTCCTTTTATCACACGACTCAATATTTCATGACAAAAAAACAGAACATTAAAATTACTGAAACATGCTAAGGGATGAGTCATCCAGGGGATGAGTAGTCTAGCGGAGGAGTTGTCCATTTACCAGTCTTCTATAAACTGTGAACAAACTCACTATTTCACCCGGTATTTACTCGTCGATACAATACCTGATCTGTACTAAGTGTTTCGTTCAGTGCTAAACGCTAAACCGGGAGTAGGAAATAAGGTGGCGATTCTTGTGCCTAACCCTGCGGTATTTATTCGTCGATATAATAGCTGCTCTTCGGTGTTTTCTCTCAAATAAAAATTGCAAATGTATGAAGCAGCCTTGTTACCATTACAGTGATTCATTTTATGTTCGTTTCACAACAATGGTGTAAATGTTAACATATAAAGCAAATTCCGAAATATTTTGTAACATTTATGAAAACAAATTAGTGGTTGCCTTAGTAACATTTTGAATAGCATAGATATAGATTGTTAATACAGTGATACAATGGGGAGTACAATAGATTTATATGTGACACAATATTTAACTAAAATGTATATATGAATTTCCTTACCATCACATACCCATAGCAACGTAAGCAAAAGTTGAACTGGATAAATATCGGAACATTAATGCTCCATATTTTTAGGTACCGAATTATGTCTTTATTTGATTACTTCAAGTAATGTGACTTTTTATGTATGTATGTATAGCTCTGAACAGTGAAGGCCATACCATATACTAGTAAGCCAAATCTAGTTCAAATATCAGAGCATGCTTTCAACTGAAGTAGTCAAATATTGTATTGTCTTTTAATGTGGTTTATTTATGATTCGCACCAGTGGATTTAGACGGGGGTGTGGGTGGCGCACCCCCCCCCCCCAGTCAGAATTTAACTGGAAATCAAAATATATGGCATTGGCTTGGTTATTTTGTTTGTTTGTTTAGCTTCATTGTGAGATTTTGGTAGTATACGAGTATGTGTCAATCATGTATAACAGTACAACAGGATAAATGATTGGTGGCACGTACGCGTCAAGCCCGGGGGTTCACTGTATGTAAACCCTGACGGGAAATTCTCTTCAAAGATTCTTCTCTGGGCCATCTTCAGTTTGAATGTAAGCTTTTTTCCCTGAACATGAAATATTCTACTTTGAAACAATCATAGGCTTTGATCAAGTCTTACAAGATTTATGGTATGGCATTGGTCATATATTTGGACAATTGGTATGGCATTGGTCTTACAATTCAACATTTGGTATGGCATTGGTCTTATATTTGGACAATTGGTATGACATTGGTCTTATGTCTGAACATTTGGTATGGCATTGGTCTTATATTTGGACAATTGGTATGACATTGGTCTTATGTCTGAACATTTGGTACATATGTATGGCATTGGTCTTATATTTGGACATTTGATATGGCTTTTTGGCAATATTTGGTTGATATGGGAACACATTGAAATGACAGATTGGTATTGGAACATATTGACATTTGACGGTTCAGTCTAGGACCCTCGCCTAATTATGTACAGTATATGTGTGAAGCCCCCAGGCGTCAATTACGCATCCGTGTGAATCCACATCCATGGATTTATAAAGGACTGGAACATGGCGTAATTATCCTGCATGAATTCAGGCGCCTGGATTCACTGTACTCACATGCATTTTCTGCTGTGAGAATGGACATAGTTAAGATCTTTTCAGAAAGTATGAAAGCCTTATATTTATTGAATTGAATTACAAAGCAAATGTAAGCAAAAACTCGTGGGAACTTTTTGAAAACGGTCTATTTTAAGGCACGCTATTTTATTGAGGTCATATAAAATGCAATGTTCTATTCATAATTTGTCTATTGAAATAGGCTTGTGGACAATATCCAGCGTGCCAATTGAACTGACGCGAAACTAATAAAGTTGTAGTAAACATGTCGTTGGCATTTTAGTTGATAAATAATGCTAACAATCCTATATGTTTCAGATGACATATCATGTGAGGAGGTGCAGACTCTCAGACACCTACATCCTACACAGGGGGTGGTAATTTTTCTCAGATACCTTTACTTTTTGTCAATATATAGACCATTTTGATTAGCCAAGATCGGGTCTCATTTATGTTTTATCTTCTGCATGGTTTCTCAAAAGACCAAAGCTTATTGCCGGTGAGCAATCTCCAAGTAATCAGTGTATATTTGGAAATTATATTCAATGATATGAAAGTAGTATTAATACGATGTTTTTTACATCAACATATATTTTGTTTATATACAATCACTCTGCTATACATAACCCCTAGAAATGCATACTCTGTCCAATATCCTAGATGCAAGCAGAAATAATCTTGATTTACGTCATTAAAAATTCACAGTTCAGTCAAACTGGTGTCATATTTTGAATCTACATATAAAATTACATCTAAAAATGTGGTTTTGAAAAGAGTTTATCAACTTTGAAAATTTAATTTTCTTTGAAAAAGTGACTTTTAGGTCGGGGAGATTCCCCATAGACCCCATGTTGTAAAACTACAAAAAGTGAAATATCTTTTTTTCTGTTGGGCAGATGATATTTTCTTTTACTGGACATATTTTAATTTGTATAACTATCACATACATAAGGGTAATTTGAAAAGTGAACCACTAAAACTGATGCAGATTCAAGTTTAAAGGAATTTTGTAATACCCTGCCATGTTAATTCCCCCGAATCAGCCACCCGGTGGCGAAACTGGTATCTACCTACTCGCATCTGAGTAATTGTATTGTTTAGTATATTTTTGAAAGTACCTTATTAACATCTAACGTCATCCGATAAACCATTAATAAGGAACAGACAAATAAAAACAGATAACCTAATCATTACTGATAAACCAAAAGGGTTGCTCATTAACACCCAATGCAAGGTATAGAAGAGTGACTATATATTACTTATGGTTGTATGTGGGGATATAGGAAATTCACAAGGAATACTGTTTATCGGAAGTATCATAATGCCGAGTGTGTGGAGCTCAATGAATTCGAAATTTAGGCCCACGTTAAGAGTTGTGAATGAATTTTAAAAAACAGGTCCGTCTTTCAAAATGGCAAACGAGAATCATGATTTCGATCGATCCTCCTCATTTCCATGGGTTTAAATAACATGCCCATGGTATGGAGTTTGACTGAAATTTTGATCACATCCATCGTTTATTATCAAAGATTACCATTTACCATTTTAACAAATACGCGACGGCCGTCAATTTTGATAATTGTCAGTGATGTGGGGAGAGTGTAGTCGGCGTGCATTATATTGTTCAATCTTCCACTCATTTTTGTTTCCATAAATAAAGGCAACTACTACTACCTAAAATCAACATAACACAATGCTTCCTTTAAATTGTATTTCTTATATTGTGCTTACTCTCTCGTCTAAAGATTAGATACATAATAATTATGCAATAATTGGATTTATGAAATTATAAACAGTTTGCTGAGGGGAGCAGTACATATGAGAGTACAGAACAAATGCAGTAAGAATGATCCATCCCCTGGACAAAGATGACATGACTGATGTCAAGGTCAGGAGGTAACTGGGACTTCATTATTCCACTGAACGACGTCAATGAAGTATGACTACTGAAAACAACCCACAACCCACCCTTGAACCAAGGAATTTAGGGTAAAGTAGAATCAATAGATGATTAGCCTAATTAAGCTAATTAAGGGATGTGTCTAAGCAAGTTATGAAACATATCCCTTCAATTAGGCTAATTAAATTATAATTTAATTGTACTAATTAGGCTCCCTGACGGCAAACTGTTAGAATCAGAATAAAGTATAACATAATGACAGTGCAACAAAATGCGAAATTGAATGTAATACTATATGTACTAAAACATGGTGTATACTTAATACATCATGGTAGTAAAGTTCTTTCAGTTCTTCAATGTTTAAGATAGTTCTAAATTGTCACAAAATAGAACCATATTGTTACGGGTATAACCTACTCTCGTACTCAATAATGAGCTAGGTCTGACTCTTCAATCGAGAATTTCATCTCTGCTTGCAGGAATTATTGCTTCCGTGAAGGCAATCGCCAGTAGCTCTTCGGGAGTTTCCGTTTTGGGGAACTCGTTCGCAGCCCACGTAAGATATACCAGGAATTCGCTCCAGTCTATCATCCCATCAGCATCCATATCCAAAGCCTTCAATGCTTTTCTAGTATCTGGACCGCCTTTAGAGAAATACTGAGCCAAAAATCCATTGTAGAACGAATCAAATTTCAGCATATTGTCAGCTTCTCCCTCACGAGTATCCAATTCATCCCAGATCTTGCGAACTTCCCCAATGAGATATTCGACATGTGGTCCTAGCTTGGTACCATTTGTTATCTCGTCACGCATTGACTCAGAGAGAGACCCACCGGCTCGATCAAACAGAACAGCCAATCCAAACTTACTCATGTATTCTACCCTCCTAAAAGAAAATAGCGGTGTCAGATGAATTTTAGAGAGTGTGTAAATACGTCAAAAAGGAAACATACAGGGTGTCCCGAAAGTATGGGGGCCCCCCTAGGCAGACATATTCCAGTGTCCTCATAGTATGTGTCATATATCATTTTAAAGCTTATCCAAAGTTACATTGATTTGCCAAGTATCATGGTTTAACTCCCAAATGGTAAAAAGTTACAGTCATTTTAAAAGTTAGTGTTTTGTCAAAATAAAGTTCAATTTTACACCACATTACTAGTCAATGAGTCCCCCCTTGGCCATGTTAACACCCGCAATTATTTTCAGATATGACCTTAAAAGCCCTTCAAATAGCGGTGAGGAATTTTATAACCTTCTTAAAACCTGTTAAGGCACTTTAGAAGAGTTTCCTTAGAGTTTCTACCCTCACCGTTCTCTTTTTCCAACTCAATATCCATCCGACCCGATAAAGATTGCTGCTGCTTTAGATGGCCCAGGAGGACACATTGACGAGTGATTTGGTGTAAAATTGAACTTAATTTTGACCAAACACTAAATTTTGAAATGCCTGTAATTTTTTCACATTTGAGAGTTGAACCATGATACTTGGTGAATCAATGTAACTTTGGATAAGCTTTAAAATGATATATGACACATACTATGACGACACTGGTACATGTCTGCCTAGGGGGGGCCCCATACTTTCGGGACACCCTGTATATAATGTATGCACAAGTCCCAATGAAAAGGACCAAAAAAATGTTACAGAACACACGAGAAAAAGAAAACATCTGACTGAAAGTACACCACAAGGAAAACGAACCTCGACTATCCCAAACTGTGATCTAACATGAAAAGAAAAAAAATTCCGAGCGGAAACTATAAAATCATTTTTTAATAGTCATTCTCATATGCAAGAGCTCTTGCGGACTTACTTGCTCGCTCGAAGGTCTTCTAGAATGATTTCCTTCATGCGGGTTGCGATCTTTAAGTTAAACTGTGGATCGTCGCCAAACAAGCGCACCAATCTCGTACGAATCATTTCAGGCGATGACATCGTTGTGATTCGAACCGGAGCTACAACACCAAAGAAATCGGCCAAATGAAATTCGTCTTTTCCCATACTAAAGACGTAATCTAGAGCTCTCCTACCAAAAACTGGTTGTTTATCGTGTGGAGGTTTTCCGGTTGAAATCTTCGTCACTTCTATGGCAGCTTTTCGGAGATGCTGGCAGTTGTATTGTTTTAGCACCTTTTTGTTTCCGAGACGAATCATGTTCAAAAGAGTGACACATGAGGATGCTTGTCCCATTGACGCCCCTTCTCCACATACGCTTGCCCAAATACCATCACACCCACCGATCAAGCACTGAAACATAATAGCAAATCATTTCACCTAGCCCCAATCAAATTTGCAGGTGAATACTTTTTCCGATATTATACAAACTTCTACTTTTTTTATCGTATGTATGGAACTGCAATTCAATTTAATATAACTGACCTCTAGGGCTATGGCATCACAATAGCCAAATTTCTCGTGTACGTGTACAAGCAGACGTCCTTTATAGTCGTTATCATCCATAATCTTACGGATGATCCTCGCCCAATGTCCGCACTCTTCAGGCAAAGACTTTCCAGGCTCTTCGAACGCAAGACCGAATGGACGAGTTTTGGCGGGCATCTTTGAAATCGACTTGACAAATTTACACACACGCTCAGGGTAGGAACCCATTGCTTCCTCTATATCCCGAATGTTGATAAGAATTTTTGCATCAGGATGAATATTATCGTAACACCAATGAATCCACTTCTTAGTCAACTGTATCATCTCTTTAACTGAAAACTTGTCGTAGTCATACGTAGAGTCACCAAGATCAAGCTCGAAAAAGACATTGCGCACACCTGCTTCTTTTATCTTACGCAGTCCGACTGGGACCTTTAAGAGTGCGATCCTTTTTGGCACCTAAAAATGTAAGATAATGATTTAAATACAACATCAACATTGCAAAATAGAGTCTAGAATCACAACTATTTGAAATAAATCAAATTCTTCATACCTTCGGTAACCTCTGAGAAAGCCCAAAGATACTCTGGATCTTCGCCTTCATCTATCAACATCTTCATCCACACATCATCTACCCGCGCCATGTGGGAAAATGAGGCTATAATGGTATTCTTGAAGCCACATTTCTTAACCTCGTTGAAGATAGCGCGTTTGCTCTCAATCGAATGACCTTTTAGTTGACCAACCGTGCTCTCTCGCATAGAGTTGTCCAGAACGAAGATATCCATATCTTTCAGCTTGTCATACTTCTTCAAGTCTACAGCCACGGCATTTTTGTATTCTTCAACGTAATTCTTTACGCCTTTCGCCATTGTGATACGTCAGATAAACTATAAAAATATATTTAATACTTGATCAAACGTCAGTACAAGTGGATTTAAAGGAAAGCTACGCATTGACAAGCGGAATACGAGATTATCCGCTTTAATAAAATGAATAATTGGTTATCTATTTTTGCTGAGGCGTACATACATTTTAAGCGTCTTTATTCAATTTTTCAATGTATTGTTTGCTATTACACAATTCTTGTTTCAGTTTGCACTTTCTAATTCAATTTTTTAAATTTCCTTTTCATTTATAGGTATCCTCTACACATGTGGGCTATCACGATCTGCATAGGATGTACTCACGATCTTCTGAATAGAGATTAATACAATGCAGAATGAGGTTTAAAATTCGAGCAGATCGAGGAATATCACCCATGCAGACAGATCGCCTAAAACTACATTCGTATGATGCGAGACTCGACATTCACCAGGAAACTTGAAATGATTTGTCACCCGTGGGGCAAATTAATTTTTTACTGCTTAATAAATGGTGGATGCCAGTCAAATTAAGTTCTATACGTATGAGAATAGCATGACTTCTTGATAAGTAACTAGTTTGAAAAGTGATGGCGGTGATTAAAATTACGATGTAACGATAAAACCGCAACGAAATAGTTGAAGACTTCTTTGAATAACTAAGAAATATACACCACTTAAATACTAGAAAGGCCTGTAGGTACGATTCCCCTTGATAGCATTAACATTGGTCTCTTATATGCCATACAATTAATATTTGAAACGCAAGTATTATTCGTGTGCTTTATTCTTAAAAAGAAAAGGCCTCAGGGTGAATCAAATGTTTTCAATCCATCTAAGCTTTCATAACTTCAGGAATTGGCAGTTTAATGTATGAATAAGAATGAATCGATCATCAGAATAAAGATAAACATGGAGTCACCCATAACCACACTACCTTACCTCGATCGCGCACAATCGCGAAACTGGCCCAAGCTACTTTTGATTAAATTGACTGCAACTACATGTACGTCCAGTACAATTTAGAATGTTTTCTGTAAGGGATGAGTCAAATTGTTATTCGCTCAATTTCAATAGTGAATTAGCCCCAATGTGTACAACGTATTTTTCATAACACTAATGGACAGGAGAGGGAGGGGTCAGGTGACCCTGACCCTGAGGTAAAAATCTTGTGGGAATTCTGCCTACAACATGTGAAATAAGGAAAAAAGAAAAATCGGACCTTCGAGGTTCCGACATGTTGTCACCCAAACAATCCGTTTCGGTAACCAGCGTAATCGAGTGGAGTACCGGTGATGAACAAAGATTTCTGGAGGGGAAATCTGGAAAATTGTTAAAAAACTATAATTCTCCATAAAACTTATATTCTCAAGGAGATAATCAACCAATTTATCTTTGATGTCATGATATGCTTGTTGTTCATAGCTCAAATATTCTTTAATCCAAAGATTATTCATTTTCACAGCATTCACAGATGAAGTTACTAAAGTTCATGTTTCCAAGTTATAAAGAAAGAAATATTGAGTCATGCAATATAAGGACAAGCGATGAGAGTTTTAATGGCATGTTTGACTGTTTTATTCGTTTCAATAAAGTGAAAAATAATATTTTGAATGATTCAAGATGCATTTATTCAATATTTCTTTTCCAGAAACACTTTACAATTTACTTTCATGTGATAGAGGGTGAGTTGTCCAGGGGATGAGTTCTCTGGGGATGATTTGTCCAGAGGATGAGTTGTCTGGGGAATGAGTTGTCCAGTGGATGAGTTGTCCAGGGGATGAGGTGTCCAGGGGATGAATTTTCCAGGGGATGAATTCCCTAGGGGACGATATGTCCAGGGGATGAGTTGTCTAGGGAATGAGTTGTCCAGGGGATGAGTTCTCCAGGGGATAATTTGTCCAGGGGATGAGTTGTCTAGGGAATGAGTTGTCCAGGGGATGAGGTGTCCAGGGGATGAGTTGTCCGCAAGCCGTTAAAGAATGTGAAAGTTGATCTATACAAGATACAAGTAATGTAAATTGTTCAATAGCACAAGCTGCGGGAAAGTAAGCTCATTCATGTAGATACGGACGATTTGAGGGTTTTATACCAAATTCACACATAAACCTAGGCAATCCTTAAACCTTACTAAGATAGACAGTTATATACTAGAATCATATGATTTGTACAATGGTACAATGGTGCATTTGTGAATGGTCTAATTTCTATTTTCAGACGAGCACTGTAACAATGTTCATATGCCCATCATCATTTCAAATGCGCTTTCGTGGTTGATATCCAGTGAAAATGAATCTATATGTAAAATTCAAAACACAAATATGATGAGTAATAGAAGCAATGATTACACGCAATATGAATAACAATTAAATGGGAATTTTGTTGCATAGCAATAGCAATGCTAAGAGAAGTAACAAGTGAAACTGACACGTGTCCTGTGCATTAATGGATTTACTAAAACGTATGTTGTATCACCATCGATCCCTTCTTTACTGTATCAATGTTCCCAATCCTTGTCTAGGGGCTTACTGGTAATAAAATTCTGCAAACAGTTCGCTTGGTTCGATGAATCTATATAAAAAAAAATGTTGGCCCCTAAAACCCTAAATTGTGCCCAAAATATTTAATATACGTAAGCACTCATGTTGTAAAAAGTAAAGAAATATAGTAAACGTTGTCTTCAGAATACCACCTTGTATAACCCCACTTTAGTGCCTTTTCCCCTGTTTCTATCAATATATCGATGTTTTAAAAATCATTTGATACCATATTACACATAATATGCACTTATGTGGTTTAAAGTAAAGAAATATAATAAACGTTGTCTTTCGAAGACCACCTTGTGTAACCCCACTTTCGTGCCTTTTGCCCCTGTTTCTATCAATATATAGTCTATCGATGTTTTATAAATCATTTGATACTATACACGAAATATGCACTTATGTGAAATAAAATAAAGAAAAATAAAGTAAACAGTGTCTTCGGAATGCCACCTTGTTTAACCCCATTTTAGTGCCCTTTGCCCCTATTTATATCAATATAAAAGGTGTTTTCTATATGAGGGAAGTCTGTTTCTCCCAACGTTACAATCATTTTATGTGGGAAAGTACCGGACAACAAACTCCTTTTCTAGAGCCCTTCTGAAAATCAGATCAGGGACTAGTTGCAACTGAGCAGGCGTGTCATCGATTTATCCCTTTTGAATAAAATACTCATGGACCTGGCGTCGTATTGAAAATCGGAGCAAATATCAACTGCGCATTTTATCTCACATGAGCGGCACATTCCAATTTGATAATAGCTTCCTCTGATGTGAGGATATTAATGCCAAAAGTCGGATTAGCTTCGTTGGTTCCAAACTACCGATCTTATGAAATGGTGCCAATGTAATAAACCTATTCATGTATCCGACAAGCATAAAGTCAATCTATGAGGACACTGTTGCTATCAGTTGGGGTGTGACGAATACACTATAATATCTATAGTACTCCTCAATCAACTTTGCTTTTTTGGAAGTCATGTGACATGTATACAAAAAATATTCTCAGCTCAAATAACCGCAAGGCTACCAACGCGCGTTGAGCCAAAAAGTGCGTTTTACCAAAAACAGTTGTTTGAAATTATATAATTATGTTGTTTAATGTAGAGAAAATCATAACTTTAAAATATAAAACATTCATACATTGGGAACCATCTGTATCATTGTAATGCCTTGGTCATATTTGTTCCAATTTTCACTACGGCGCCCGGCCGATTGAGTATTTTGTTCAAAATTGAATACAATATTGAAAAAACACACAATCGACCGGGCGCCGGCCGATGGATCGGAGCATATATAACATCAAGCTTTACATACCATATACATGTTATGCCTTGGTCACATATGCGACAACTATTTCGTTGCGGTTTTATCGCTACATCGTAATTTCAATCACTGCAATCACTATTCAAACGAGTTACCTTAAAATATCAAGACGTATGCTATTCTCATACTTGTAGAACTCAATCTGACTTTCATTCACCATTTGTTAGCAGTAAAAAATTGGCGATCTGTCTGCATGGGGTGATCACGCCAATGCCGCGGTCGCATTTGCACCGATTTTCGCTAACGGCGCCCAGCCGATTGAGTATTTATGTTCAAATCTGAATACAATTTTGAACAAAATACTCATAGACCGGGCGCCGGTACTGAAAATCGGAGCAAATGTGACCACGACATTAGCATAGTATCACGTGGGTGGCCACACCTACCTTAAAACGCATACACGTCATTTTCATTCGACTAATGCCTTGGTCACATTTGCTCCAAGTTTCACTACGGCGCCCGGCGGATTACCGACATCACTTTTCAAACTAGCTACTTTGAAATATCAAGAAGTCATGCTTTTCTCATACTTATAAAACTTAATTTGACTGTCATTCACCATTTAATAAGCAATAAAAAATTAATTTGCTCCACGGGTGACAATTTACATGTACAGTGTACTTACATAGTAGGGAGTTTAACCTTGCAATATTTTTCACAACCTAAACGTCAACGGAAAATATTAAAGCGATGTATTTGTATGAGAGATTGGTCATACGCATAGGTTGGCGTTTCGACTTTATACAATGCAAGCTTAATTAAACTCCCTAGTATTTCGATAAACTGCCTTATAACGTTAACGCTTTGATATAATATAACCCCCTTCGGTACAACGCCTTTCGGTAAAATAAGTAAACGAAACGAAATCTGTAAATTAAACTATTTAGATCATTTCATTTCATGAATTTGAAACTCAACAAATATGCACTCGGTGATGATTATCTAGAACTATGTTACTCTTGATGATCTCAGAAAAACCCTCTGTACTATATTGTAAGTAAAAAGATTGCAATTGTTTACTACTAATAGGGAACTATCTTATCAAATTATGTATTTTCAAGTGAAGCTTGGATCCAATTATCAATTATATGTTATTGTGCTTAGATCGCCTGTAGCCAAAAACTTTACAAAAACATTAAGGCATACATTATATAACGTGGAATGTCTAATGAAAACATGACTAGAGTAAAGGCCCATTTAAGTTTTTCCTCGTTTATTTTTGCATTACTTATTTTTAGAGCTTGGTTACCGTCTATAGTTGATTGTGTCAATAAAATGAATTGTAGCCTTACCTTGTAGTGTATTTATCGCTGCGTCAAAATCATTTGTGCGCACTTTTTGATCGACGCTGCTTAAATATGACACACACGAGCGCCGTTCAAAAAACGTGCAGTACATGTATCACTGGGGGGATTCTGGTGATAGATTTTCGTAACATATTTCATTTTCCCAATAAAACCCATTTCTAGGACGAGTTTCTCAATAATCATACACCTGCACATAGGCTAATTAAGGGCAAGAGAAATAATTTTTAAATAAAGATTATTGGACCAGAACCTATGTACCTGCAGTAAGCGCATGATCTACATTTTAAAAAACCGTCATTCTGAATGCTAAGTAACACTGTATGTACAGTGATCGTCTACTATTAAAAGTGCGTGATCAAAGACTCGACAAGATGCGCAAAATGTTTGTTTGTTTCTCTTCTCTTTACCACCTTAACGTCATTTTACCTACAGATGGTATTCCATATTCCATATGACTCAAGATTCATTTTGCATCAGGATTCAGTGATTGTCTCAACCGAATACCTGATATGAGTTGATAAATGAAGCAAAATCAAAAACCCGCCGAACGAAAATTTATATTTCGCCAAATTTTCTGTTTTTAGATTACCAAAACCACAAAATTGACATGCCTATGGTTAATGTACATAATACTTAACATTACATGCATATCAGACGTTCCAACTCCCCTTCAGAATCGAGTAAGAAGGATGTTATGAAAATAATTTATGATCAGCCAAGTGAGTGATTTTACCATGTGGATTCTAATGATCCTTTGCATTTAAGAGTGGTTTGGTTTACATGATTTTACTGTCCTTCATTTCGAACTCCTAAATTTCAAATCATTATAAACCACCTTGTAGAACATCATGAAGAAAAGAGATGAAGATGAGAAAGATTACTGAAAATAGAGGCAAATTTAGAATGATAACAAGAAATTTCTCTGGACTAATACCAAAATGAAGTGAAATCAATAAATAAACACATACTTGTAGAAAGTGATGAATTTATGACAATTTCAGTGATTGACAATAATCGAAAGAAACCATCCAAAATCTCTGATTCACCTGCTACAAAATAAAATTACCATCATTAGAGATAATAGTATGGTATTTATTTCACACTTTGTAGAGTTTCCCTAAAAAGGCCCACTTGGCGTTTATTTTGCATTCGATTACATATAATTCTAGAATTCTCAAGCTAATCACCTATAGACCTTAGTTGAAAATTGATCAATAAATCTACTGAATATTGAACTTTAGAGGAGCTTTCCCTTATACCTGTCGTTTATATATGACCCAAATTAGCCACCTCGTGGTGAAACTGGGAACTGACTACTGGCATCTACTGGAGGTTATTACGTCATTACATTTTAATATAACTTATTGATACCTTGCTGCAAAAGAATGATTTAACACCCAAATGAAATAGATAATGTACAATTCAGATTCAGAAGTTTATTATGAGACCCCATGTCCAAAACAGGCACAATCATGACAAAGGGCAATACTGTGACATGCATTTTCATTTATAATTTATTCAATTCTTGCGTTACAATTCGACAATCATCTTGGATGCCAAGGTGTAAAGTTCTCGTTCCTCGGAATCAGAGGGTAAAATAAATGGACTGAAATGGGACTTTGAAAACGGTTCCACTTATAAGGTGTTATACATCAAGAGGTGTTTTACTTAGCAGGTTCTACTGTACAGTGTACATATCATTTAATGGTAAACCTAGGCATACACAAAATGTGCGCACACACAGTGACAATTTAATTGACTGAATCAGTGAACGGTGATGTACATGTTTATTTTGGACATACGGCATTTTGCGAGAAACCCCATTTTCTTCTCGTGAAAAGCATGTATGAAAAGGGCGTATGGTTTGCTGAAACTCACGCTATAGGCTGATCCATTCGTTTCTGTGTTAGAATATTTATTCCATGTTATTTAAGAGGAAACGTGAATTTCATCATGGTCAAATGGAAGCCCAAGAAGGTACCTAAATATTAAAAATTAAAGAGAGTAAAAATGTTGCATTGTTTTTGATATTTTTAAGCTTTTTAAATAAAATAACACATATTACATCGCATTTATATCTTTGCATCGTAAAATCAATAACATTTACGAGAAATGGTCAAACTGGTATATATTTCTCAAAGCATATGGGTGTTCTTGTGCCTACAAAATCTGAATCACCAGTAGCCTGTAATATAAACACAAATAAATCTTTTAAAAATAACAGTTACAAAATATTTGAATTTTGCGCATCTTGTCGAGTCTTTGATCACGCACTTTTGATAGTAGACGATCACTGTACATACAGTGAGTAAGGTTCTCTTAGCCATGGTTACCTAAAATGAGTTGGATAATATGATATTGGCTTAGATGCCCCGGTGTTGCACTAGTGAGAATATGTCCCCTAAGTAATAATCTAGGAACGCGCATGGTAGGGTATAACAATATGCCATACATTGGTGTTGTTGCACCATTGCTCAAATTTAGATGAGCGTTTTTGCATCCAGTTCGGTTCGGTTTAGTTGCATCTATAGTGAGGAACTAAAACTGTGAATTCATCGCTTCTTGATGATGCCAATGACAGTTCTTTAAAATATAGACCGTGCACTAACTTCAGCTGTATGATTATTGAGAGATTCGTTCTAGAACTAGGAATGGGTTTAAATTGGGAAAACAAAATATCTTTCGAAAATCTATCCACGGACCATCTTGATACCCCCCCCCCCAGTGTGTATGTTCTCTATTACGTGTTTGTAAAAGAATCTAACGTTTCGGAGATTAAAGGCGCACATGTCTTGAAAGCCCATGGTGTAAATAATGGCCAAATGCTGTGAGCTTATTATTGATACTTTCATAAAAGTAATTAGAGTTTTAGATTTAATTTATATCGCAGGGATAGGAGCACAAGTCAAGATATGGCTATGCATTTTAGTCAGTTGAGGTTTTTCTCACCATTATGTTCGGCGGTTCGTTGATGTATGAAAAAATATATCGCCTTTTATTAACCTCAATTCTCGATTCCCCTTACATTTGTATACCTACTTATTGAACGCTGCTCGCAGGGACTACCTGGATGCATGTCTAATAATAAATCGTTCTGTCCATTAAATAAGGGAACACGGGTGAATGTCTATGATAAAAATGAGGTATAAAATCACCATGCATATTATGTACTTTCGGGTCACAAGATGAACAAATTGAAGACTGCCATTTGTCTGAACCAATACTCTTATTCATTTCCGATGAAAATATTTCCTTCTGGAGTGAACATTATGCAAAAACTTCTATATATCTTACATGTTACCGATTTGAAAGTGTCAAATTTGGCGTGTACTTCAAAATGCCAATACTTTATTGTGCTATAAAATCGTTAGGTCAGGCTTAGAAAGAACTCTATTTAAATCATATTTCAATAGTTAGAGATACATGTAAGGTGACTAAGAAAAGGCATACTCTTTTCAAGATCATGCTATACCATGTACTATTTCATATTTTTTATTATTGTTGCTACATGTACTGTATATTAGTTGTTCAGTGTTGACATTGTATGTATTTATTAGGAGGCCATCTCCTGAGGCGACTTTCTATTAATTTTGATAATTATGATTGAACATTTTTCTAGTTGCTTACAATCGGAATTTTATAAGTTTGTTTATATTAACGGACGATATTTGGATACAGATCGACAACATGTTATTTGGTTTCTAAAATCGATTGCCTAGGTTCGAAACAAATTTTGCCAAATAACTCTGAATTAAGTGGTGGGACTTGGCGTGATTTTGAAACTGGTACGATCATTAAAGTGATTATATTGAATGGGAAACAGAAATTGTGATATATTCTTGGCACCATCCTTCAAGATCGGAAGATTGTGAAGTTGGTTATGTCCACCACATCTCATCTAGTTGCATACCAATTGAGTTTAACATTGCTTTAAAAATTGTTCATTCAACCAGTTGCCAGAACGGTTGCAAAGCCAAGCTATTTTGGCCTAAACGCATGTTCGAAGTTATCTTGCATCCTTCTTCAAAGGACTTCATTTATGCTTAAATTATACTTGTAAAATACCCTTGCAGCAAGGATGTTATCTTGTGCTAGAAAGAATTTAAAAGATTCAAAAGCAGGGGCGGATCTGGGAACCAACAAGGGGGGAAGGCAAACTTCTGATCTGAGAAAAAAACTTGTGCGCTTGCGCTGAAAAAAATTTTGGGCCCCTAAAACCAAAAAGTTGGCCCAAGTTTTGAAATTTTGAGGCCCATTTTCTTCAAAATTTGGCCAAAAATTAAAAAATAAGGCCATAGAAGGCCCATTTATGACCAAAAAGGCCCTTTCAACACCTGTGTTTTCAATGCTTGTTGCATCAATGTTGCGTTTTGAGATTCGGTTAACCTCTTTAGGGCTAAAGAAAAATATGATTCATGCAGGGGTTATAAAGATATCAATTATGCGTGACCAGAATTAAGCTTAAACAATGGATCATATGAGTTTTCCATATGGGGAAATAACTTTGAAAATAGTATTTTTCCACACTGCACATACAAAATCATGATTCCTTCATTATTGAGAAAATTATTCCAAAACTAGTGGGTTCTTTTTTTGTTTCATCCTGTACATACTTTGATAGAGCTCCACCAATTAATAAGCTTAGTGACGGTGAGTTACACCTGTTACACTTAGACTATAATTCCTATGTAACTGTACCTGCAATAATATTTTTACTGAATAGCAACGTCACTGAATGTCGCTGAACCTCACCTACTGTAGTTACCCAGATGATACGTACAGGGTGGTCAAAAAACGGCAACCCTAGTTTTTCCTAATATCTTTGTCATTCTAAGAAATAACTCTTTAATATTACACATTTGTACATCATTCAATTTCCTACCAACCTACCATATTTCATGACTATCGGACTGATAGTCGCAATATTACTGCATTTTAAGCAACATGCTCCAGATGACCACTTTCGGGCTGTCTGAGCTGGTCTGTTATTCAAATGAACTCTAACAATTATGTATTCTTGGGGAGCCAAGCACTTGATGAAGAAGTGGAGAGGCACCTTCACACAGACAGATGCACAGTTTA